TTTTCGCGTTATCGCTACTACTTGAAAAGAAATTGAGAGTCTGTCTGTTTTTCCATTGGGATTTCATATACGGTAATAGTTTGATGCCAATTAAATCCCCAGATATGTAATTAGTTTACTTGGAATGCCTCGGTACTCCGGGAATTAAGTGTTGGTGGTATAGGGCAAAGTAAAATAATCAGTATTTGATCGAAACTATTTTCCTCTAAATATCAAGTAATCTTCAGTGTAATCTTAGCTCTAAAGTTACAAGAGATGTTTTTCCCCTTTGTACTGTATTTCGTAACTTGCTAGTATACTGTGGATGGCTTGTTATAAAAACATATGACAACTCTTTTGTTTACTTTTTCCTTGTTATTTTGTTCAACCAGTTACTTGGTACCCATAAATAGGATACTGGATGGATTGCGCCATCCAGCATTCAGATAATATAAATACAGTACTAATGACTGGCTTATTTTATGTTCGTAATTAGAGTTTCGTTAGCAATTATTTATCTTCAAGTAAAAGATGTGTCCTTAGACTGTTAGCATCTTGGTGCACACGTTTTGTTATTATAACTTTGTTTACCAGTGTTTCCCAAACAACACCTCTATAGCTTATGGAATCTTACTTTGCAAGTCTTATTTTGACAATAGTATATTTCACCAGTTGAGCTTTAAGTGACTCTTTTCAACCCAAGCGTTTCACGGTCCAGGCGAAGCCAAGGTCGGAAAAGGAGCTAACGTTGAACGGACACTTTTTGCCTGTGTGATGAACTATATATTTGTCATGCTACACCATTATTTGAACAAACTATGTTACAAAACTAAGATAGTTATCATTTAAAGATAACTTCTCAAAACTACTTTTAACTTGTTTGTAATTTAATTTGCTAATGGAAACAAGCAGCTGTGTTGTAATAAGTGATTCAGCAGTTTGGTCTATTACAAATGTGTTAAGAGTAGCATCGATATGTCGAACTACTGTATTTAAAATTAAGGCAAAAATGAGCTAAAACCGATATACTTTTGATACATGCAATTGTGTTCAATCGAAATTTAAAATTGAGTTGGCAACAGCTGATTTTAACACCATAGGTGCTAAAAACAATTTTACTTCCTAGAGAATAAAAATGCTACTTTAGACTCGCAATGCATTATTTAAAAATGGCTATTTTGGCTGCTTTAAAGTATGACAAAAAATATTTTTCCCAGTTTTGTTTAATCATCTGTCAAGCAAAGCTGAGGAAAGTAGGCATGCAGGTTACCTGCTTCTGTTAGTATTGCAAGTTACCTGAAGTAGGTAACCTGCCTGCCTTCTGTAAAATCAGCTTCGGAGTAGATTTTAGGTGATATAGTGAATGGAAATGAATCAATTGTTACGATATGGTTTATTATCTTCTTTTTGCATTTGAGGCCAACTAATATTAATTTGTTTCTCTCGAGTCCCACGTCATAAAGACACAAACCATGACATTTCTAATAAATGTATGGATTATGATTTTATGTTTATTCCACAAACTGGGAAAATGCCAATTATTATTATTGCTGCTTCAGCCAGATCTCAATTGGTAAACGATGGATATTGGAGGAGCAGTTTTCTATTCGTTTCATTACGTCATTACGGCATGGCTCAACTCTCAGATCTGACCGATTCAGTATTCAACCCTAATTTAATAGTTCGCTTGTTAATCACACAAAAATTAAATTTCATATTCTGTTCTAAGAAGGTGCCAATTATAAACAAATGAAAATTCTGTTTGTAACTTGATTTATATTTACCTTCAGGAAACCTTTGTAAATATAAGATTCAAACGACTTATCATTTCTTATTCGGGCTTGTGACAAGGAAAAGGAAGTAGGGAATGGTTCAGTTGGCTTTACGACACCACAACCATTTAGTACATTTACAAGTTTATGAGTTATAAATATTAACTAAGGTAGAAATAAATGTGTTGTGCTCGCCTGAAGAGATTTCTCCTGAAGTCAGTACAGCCTGCTTGTGCCATCCACTTCCCTGTAGTTCTTGGTCCCCACCAGCAGTGAAGGTGTTACTACTTACCTTGCCTGACTAGTTCAACAATTAATATTTACAGAATACAACTATCTGACACATGCAAGTTGAAACCCAAAACTGTCCTGCTGAATAATGATGAAGAATGTATTATTCCAAGAAAAGTTTAGATAGCCTGAAATTCTCTTAAACATTATTTTTACTCAAGAGTCAAATTTTACCAATGTAATGCAAAAAGATGTTGAGAAGATTTTACTTAATAGCATAGTAACTGCTTAATGCAAAAGTGTGTTTACTTTAGTATAACCCTAAAATGGTGACCATAAATTATTTCAACAAACATAAAAAAATTACTTGCAGAATTTTTAAATTTAAAAAATCTCTTAATGTCACATTTTTGTTATTTACGAGGGTCAATTTTTAAGCAAGGGTCGTTTGTGTGTGAATCTTCTCAGTTCGCAACAAGATCTCTCTCTGACATCATTTGGGAATAGAATGGCGCCATTTGCAGCTTTGTATCTCCATTCATACTTGGCTTAAAATGCCTACATTATGGTCGCCATATCATAAAAAAGGATAAAGTAGCTGAAGAGTACACTTTCCTCTGTGTTAGGAACATTTCTTTAAATCATTGAATCTGTAGACGCATGCAAAATAAGGTCAGTGATATGTGTTTTGACTGCAAAAACATATCTGCTGCAGACATTCGTCTTCAGATGACTAAACTTCATGGCCCAAATGCAACAAATGAGTGTTAAGTGTAGAAATGGGATAGGAAGATTAAAAATGGGTGTGAAAATGTTCATTTCAGGACTGGTGTTTTTGGTGAAGACCACAAAGAAAAAGGTTTTAACGGTAATTTTTACACTACCTGACCCATTTGCTCACTTTACCTTTACTAATTGCATTTGAGCTATAACCTTCAGTCATCTGGCGATGAAAGTCAGCATAAAATGTGTTTCTTGTCAAAAAACATATCAATGACCTTATCTTGCACTAAGTGGGAGCTGCAATAGTTTAAAAAATTGTCTTAAGATACAGTGAAGCATTCATGTCAGCTACAGGGATGCAAATGGCACCGTTCTGTTCACAAATGATGCCAGTAAGAAGCGAGGAGCCTTGTTCTGGCGTATCATGCTAACTAAGAAGCTAAACACACAAGCAGCCCTTACTTTAAAAACTACCGTCGTATTACTTCTCAGCTTTGAACTTATACCAAACAAATTAAAATTTGATGCCAGTATTATGGAAACATGTAAATTATCAAGCATACAATAGCAGCGTGCAATAAAAAAAAAAATCTATGGAACATGGAAGGTATATAAGAATTATTTTTCTAATAGGGCAAAACACTCAAGAAATTACAAACATACCCCCACTCAATGATGTCCTTTGCATAATGTATTGTTGCATTATTTGATAAAAATATTTCATAAAGATAATTTTAAGTAACACAAAACGTATATGGACAGAGTTAACTAACTGTCCTCAAACCAAATACTTAGTACCCCTTTTACCTCGACCACAACTGGTATATCACAAGGAATATATTTTGGAGAAAAATTTAGTTGGAATGGGGAATTGTATTACCCATTTGACTAGTGGTACTCTACATACTCAAATGTGTACTACTGATGTTCTCACATATTGTTTAACCGCCCGATTGTATAAACTTTAATAGTAGTATCCCAAACAATACTTGAAGAAAATGCTTCACAGATTAAAAAACCAGTAAAAACTTATGATTAAAAATTTTTGTTATACATTTTTGTTGCCACGCCATTTGTGAGAAAACGTACAGCCCAATGTTTTCCCCTACATTTTTATGGATCATATATTGAACTTTGAGCTCATCCTAAGGGAAAATTGTCTCAATATTTTATAGTCTGAAAAAACGTAAGGTCCCAATTTTAAGCTTTCTACAGAATTTATAAACCAATAGTGGCCCAGATAAAATAAGACACCCCAATTATCAAATACAAAGATAGGCCTATTGTTTGATCTAATTTGAACTTTTAAATGCATCTATTTGTAATCTAGTGTATAATTTAATTATTAAATGAAGCATTGTAGCATTTAAGCACACATAATTACTATTACAAATATTCTGAATTTCAACGAGTGACTGATTTAACTTAAGTATCTGATCATTAACTTCATTAGCATTATTAAACATTGTGTCAGAAAAGTTAGCAATAATAATTGTAAGAAGTGGTTAAACAACAATGTTGTCATGCAATAATACTGCAAAGAACATATTATTATATGGAATAGCAGCTATGAATTGGTTTACTGGTGCAGGTGTTTCTTACCTTACACGCCCAACTCCAGCTCAGTCTTGAATCCACAGGCAGAACCATCTTGCCACGATGAATTATAGAAACGAGATTCCAAAAAGCACGACTTATCACACCACAAAGGATAAAAGTTGAACAAATGTTTAACATGACAAAATATTCATACAAAAAGGTGGATTGTAAAGCAGAGAAAGTAAGGGAGGGAGTCACCACAGATACTCTGAAGAATATCCGCTGACCCTGAAAATAACTAACATACAATATGTTAATAAATTGCAATATAAATTATCAATTATGAAGTTCCACATGAATAAACAAAAATTAATTAAAAGGTACTCAAACAGGTAGTCGTCGCTCATATAGTAGATGTATACCGGCAAAAAGACATGGAAAGTTAAACCTCTAATATTCTGAAAACGGTAAAATTAATTAATAATTTACTACTGTATATGCAAACAGATAGAATAAGGTTTTTCTTGCATTTTTTGGGGGTAGGCCTGAATAAAAGAATCATTAGCATTTCCCCCCATTAAAATCTTGAAAATTAATGTTTTACTTTTGGCATATCAAAAGAAACGCTGAATCTTATAAACACGACAGTAAAAATGTATAGCAAGGACAACCTGTATCTTGAAATTATATGAAGATTAACGAGGTTTAAGTAACAAATAAAGTTGAATGTGTAGAGAAAACTATTGATCAACTTACGCTTCGGTTTGGGAGGTATAAGTTTGATGCCACCGGATTTCTCTACAGGTTTCTTTTCTTCTTGAGGAGAGTCTGGTTTGAGTTTCTTCTCTGGAAGATGAGGTTCAGGGGGAGGTGACATCCTTTTTCCTATCTTCTTCTCTGGCAATACTAGAGGTCCAGGAAACAGAGGTGGAGGTGGTTTCTTGTTAACAGGCCTGGGAGGAGGTGGTTTCACTTCTTCTTCCAAACCTGTCGATCTAAACTTTGAGTTGTAAGTTTTAACTGTTTTTGGCTTTTCACCTTGAGCTGCTGCTTTTCTATCTACACCAATTGTGAAGTTTTTCTCTAATCGCTTTGTTTCAGGCTTTTTTACATCGTAGCCTTTTTTGACATCAACTTTGCCATCACTATTGTCTTCTTTAAGAGTACGATTCTTCTCCTCTGACTGTTTTTCTTCCTTGCTAGAAGATGTTTTCTTTGGAATCTTCCCCAGTTTACTTATGGGTGGAGCAATTAGCTTTTTTATAGATTCCTTTTCTTTCTCAGTCAAAGAATCATCATCATCCAGAACGTTTTTTTCTTTTACATCATTCTTTTCACTTTTAGGATCTTTTTTATCTTTAATAGATGGAGGTTGTTTTTTGTTTTTTAAACTCAAACTTAATTTTCCTTTTTGTTTGAGATTACTTGAAGACTCGTCTGACTTTTTACTGCGAGCTACATCACTTTCTGCACTCAAACCTTCTTTTGACATTTTTGGGCTATTTGAGGATTTTTTCGAGGTTGGTTTTACCTTGGGAGACTCATTTTTTTCTTTCTTCCCAGCTAGTTTTGTATTTTCTTTTAGCTTATTGGGCTTACTATGACTACTGGAAGCACTGTCAGTGCTGTCTCGCTCTTTCTTGGCTGCATTACTGACTTTGGCAGGTTTCTTGTTGGCTTGTTTGCTAGTTTTATTCAACTGTGGCTTCTTCTTCAGTTTAACTGGCTTTATTTCATCATAATCCTCATCATCATCATCATCGTTTACAGATACATCCGCAGGCTCTTCTTCATCCTGATTGACATCATCTGAACTTGTTGGTGTACTACAACCTTCATCTACCGCTTCAGTGCTGGATCTTCCCCCACTAATCTTGGCCAACACCTTTTCACCATCCCTAATAGTTATTTTGTACACTGGCAGATGACCTTCACTACCATTCTCCTGCTGCACTGCAGTGTTTTCTTCAGTGTCTGTGGTTGTGGCAGTAGCAGCTGTTGTTGGTAAGGAAGGATCATTGTCACCTCTTACAACTCTTAACCATTGTTCCACTAGTTGGCACGCAAGAAGTCTCACGTCTGGAAACAAAACACGAATATATATAGCATACAAATGTGATAAAAAAGTAGGTATTACCTTTTAAATATTGTCTCGTATTAAAGTAACAAACACTACACACCTATAGAAACTGGATGGCCTACATCATAGGGAGACAAGCCTAACATTATTCAAACAAAATTAGTTAGGCCAGTGTATTTTTATAAATTTTTATTTTCAAGAAACTACTACCGAAATAAAATCATGTTTATTATTTTTAATGTAAAGAGTTTTACTTTTTTGCAAAGTGGTTGTCTGAATAAAATTAAGATAGTTGAAGTTGCAATTTTATGATATGGGTAGGGGAAATCATTAATATCACACACTCTATGATTGACGTTTGTCAAGTTAAGCTTGTAAGGGACAGTTAAAAGATAAGTTGATTAAAAAAAACAATCTACAATCGATAGAACTTACTTTCATCTGTGGTAGTGTCTTTGGAGAGAGTTTTTATCAGTTTTGGACAAGCATTGGTTTTCAGCCTATCTATGTCAACTGGGCAAATTAACAACAGCTCCACCAACTCTTGAACTAATGGCCAGTTTTTAGCAACCACTCCATCTGACAACCATGTATATGTCAAATCCCAACCACCAGCAGACATAAACCTGAAACAAACAAAAAAGCTGTAGCATTGAAATGTAAATGAGTTTAGCTTTTGATTGATATTGATCATTACACCTGTCCACACTTTGCACAACCCTGTAAGTAAAAACACAAGCAAAGTAACACATATTGCACCAACAGTAATTAATAAATAAACCATAGTTTTACATTTTGTATTCCTTTAGTCAAAAGTATTTTTATTTTAATTATAAAAATCATGATATTTATAACCATTAATTACAATATATATTAATTATTTGTAATGCCTTACTAAATAATAACAAAAAAATCACAACATAACAACCGGAATATATGTTCTATATTGCAATTTATTCGTCGAAGATAAGCAATTTTTGTATATACCGAAGTTAAAGTTAAGCTATATTTCTAAACAATGTGAATAAACCAAAAAAGTAAGAATAACTTGGTCCAAGTTAATAGCTTGAGTTTAACTTCAGCTATAAAACGGAGCTCCACTGTGTCCATCTCACGTCTACGCGACGGAGATCTCGCCACGTGTAGTTTGCATAAAATGTTGGTGCCTTAACGCGGGAATCCTGTCGCGGGTTTCATGCTCGAGTGTGGGCCTAAGTTAAATTTTGACACTGTTCTATCAATAAAAAAATACGTATTCTTAGATAAACTATGTCTGACTAGAAAATTCCAGAAATTTAATTTGTATTTTTTCATTTGGTATACACCATACAGGGTGAGTTTTAATTGTCCCCCCCCCCTAACTTTTTTCAACATTTTTTCAAATATCAATCCCAGATCACTTCCAAACATTGTTGGGTAGTAAGTACTTCATTTTGACAAAGTGGTCATTTCCGGCCGACATCTTGGATCCGCCATATTGGATGCAAAATATTTTTCTCAAATGTAAAGGTGGGGTTGTGACCCATTATTTCTAACTAGATTTTTACCCTGATTACAATACCGCAAACACTTAAAAATCTTGATCCATTCCAAAGTTATGAGGGCTTTTTAAAACTTTATTTTTAGCCCATATTTTAACATTGTGCATCTACAAACTAAGACCATAATCTCAAAATAGTGTTAGATGAAGATAAGTATACACTACCAGTAATTGTCGACCTATTTTCACTTGGTTATGACTGATGTATTTTTTCCGGCCGCCATCTTGGATCCGCCATTTTGAAATGTGATAAATTATTTTAAATATGAAGGGGGTGTTGTGACCCATCATTTCGAACTACTTTTTTAAGCTTAACTCAATGCCTCAATCCGTTTTTTGTTATCAACTTTTATTTATGAAATATTGCAACTTTTTTGTTAAAAATGTCAATATTTCAAAATCAAAATATGAAAATGAAAAACAGTTTGCGGCATTGAATTTAGCTTAAAAAAGTAGTTCGAAATTATGGGTCACAACACCCTCTTCATATTTAAAATAATTTATCACATTTCAAAATGGCGGATCCAAGATGGCGGCCGGAAAAAATACATCAGTCATAACCAAAAGTGATAATAGGTCAACAATGACTGGTAGTGTATACTTATCTTTAACTAGCACTATTTTGAGATTTTGGTCTTAGTTTGTACATGCACAATGTTAAAATGGGCTAAAAATAAAGTTTTATATTTGAAAACATGTAGAAAAAAGTTGGGGGGGGGACAATTAAAACTCACCCTGTATATACAAGAAACACAGTGTGAATAAATATAGAAATATAGCCTATACAACAACAAAAAAATGCAATGATTTAAAGCTTAGGTAACATTTAATACCCCCACCGCAGCAAACCAGCAGACTAAGTGAATTCCCATTTGCCTAATTTGATTTACATTAAAATGACTCCTTAAAAATATAACATTTATTCCCTACTAGCTGAGCACCCGTCCATCGTACGGGGTTGGCGTATAAGTATAAAATGCTTATTGCAATTATACTCGTGCAATGGGAGGGTAAATAGTACAGCTACCATAGCTATAATGTTCTACCACTGACCCTAAACTTAATAAAAATAATGAAATTCTCATTTTTCACAGCTTTTTGTTGCTAGTTGGTTTAAATAAGATGTTGTCATAAATGCAAAAAGATTCTTAGTGCTGCACCCTGTTGGTAATCCTTATAGCTTTTTAATGGTTTATCATAGAACCATAAGGTTGAAAACAGTCATTTATGAGTAGGGCAGCAAGGTTAGAAACAGTTGTTCGTGAGTAGGGCAGCAAGGTTGGAAATAGTCATTCGTGAGTAGGGCAGAAAGGTTGGAAACAGTCATTTGTGAGTAGGGCAGGGCAGCAAGGTTGAAAACAGTCATTTGTGAGTAGAGCAAAAAGGTTGGAAATAGTCATTCGTGAGTAGGGCAGGAAGGTTGGAAACAGTCTGTCAAACAGTCATTCGTGAGTAGAGCAAAAAGGTTGGAAACAGTCATTCGCGAGTAGAGCAAAAAGGTTGGAAACAGTCATTCGTGAGTAGAGCAAAAAGGTTGGAAACAGTCATTCGTGAGTAGAGCAAACAGGTAGGAAACAGACATTCGTGAGTAGAGCAAACAGGTAGGAAACATTCATTCGTGAGTAGAGCAAACAGGTAGGAAACATTCATTCCTGAGTAGGGCAGGAAGGTTTGTAACAGTCTGTAATACAGTCATTCGTGAGTAGGGCAGAGAGATTGGAAACAGTCATTCATGAGTAGGGCAGCAAGGTTGGAAACAGTCATTCGTGAGTAGGGCAGAGGGGTTGGAAACAGTCTGTAAAACAGTCATTCGTGAGTAGGGCAGCAAGCTTGAAAACAGTCATTCGTGAGCAGAGCTAAAAGATTGGAAAGTCATTTGTGAGTAGAGCAAAAAGATTGGAAACAGTCATTCGTGAGTAGAGCAAAAAGATTGGAAACAGTCATTCATGAGTGGGGCAGAAAGGTTGGAAACAGTCATTAATGGGTAGGGCAAAGAGGTTGGAAACGAACATTCGTGAGTAGGGTAGAAAGAAATATATATGCGAATACGAGCATGAAGTTGCAAAATTAATTAGTACTCTTTCCCCTCACAAAAGTACAGGTGATGAGTTCCTTTCTGCAGCTATTATTCAAAATATATGTGACGAGATCACTCCAGTTTTAACAGAATTGTTCAATTTAAGTATTGCTAGCGGTTGTTTCCCTGACATCTTAAAAATTGCCACAGTAGTTCCCATATTTAAGAAAGGAGGTAAGTGTAACGAAGAGAACTACCGTCCAATATCACTGCTTCCTGTGCTTTCAAAATTACTAGAAAAATTAGTTAAAAATAGACTCACTGGATTTTTAGATAACAATAGATTTTTTTCGCCAAATCAGTTTGGATTTAGAGAAGGCCTTAGTACTGAGTTAGCACTTCAACATTTTTTGACAAATATTTACGGAAACTTAAATAGCACAACTCATAATAAAACAGCTGGTTTGTTCTTAGATATTAGTAAGGCATTTGATACTATCATGTTTTGCTCTTGAAAAAACTTGAATCAGCAGGGATAAGAGGTGTACCACTTTCATGGTTTAGGTCATATCAATATTAATAGTATTAATAGTCAAAGGTCATATCTTTCTGGGAGGAGGCAGCTAGTTAAAATTAAGAAGAGCAAAAGTAGTATCCAAAGAATTAACTTCGGTGTTCCCCAAGGATCAGTCCTTGGTCCTATTTTATTTTAAATTTTTGTCAACGACTTGTGCAATGGTCTTTTGAATGGGCGCCTAACAGCGTTTGCTGATGATACAGCATTATCATACTGTGCAAGCACTTTAGATGAGCTTCATCACATAATGCAGGATGATCTACATAAAATATCACTTTGTTTCAGATGCAACAAACTTTGTCTAAATGTTTCCAAAACAATCTTTATTAATTTTTCTTTATCCCAGTCATTTTAATGTACCTTTAATTTTCCATAAAACAGATTGTAATAAAACTAGTTGCTTATGTGATTCTATAAAACAATGTAATGTTACCAAATATCTAGGTGTACTTTTGGATGAAAATCTATCATGGAAGATGCATGTAAATAATTTAAAGAACTCATTACGTTACTCCCTTAGATCTTTTTTCACCTCAAATATTGCTGTCCTCTTCCCATCTTAAAACAGGTTTACTACAACTCTTTAATAAATTCTAAGCTTGAATATGGAATTTCTTTGTATGGAGGTGCCTGTGTCAAATTTAAAATCTTTAATAACTTTACAGAAGAAATTTGTCAGATTAATATGTAATGTAAACTTTTATTCTCATTCTCTACCTTTATTTGTAAGTCATAATATCCTTCCCTTCAGATATTTACATATTTTTCAAGTATTGACTATATTTTTCAAATTAAGTGGTAATGCAGGACCAACAGTTGATAACATTCACAATTATTCAACCAGACAAACTGCACATAACATTCTACGTTTACCCAAACCAAACTGTACCCTGTTTAAGAAGTATTTTATTTATTTATCAATAAAAATTTTTAATGTCATTCCTGTTGTAAAGCAGAGTAGGTCATTTAGTGTTTTTAAGAAAACTTTGAAAAAGTGGCTTTTAACCAAGTCATATGATGAAATAGGACAGTTGTATTCTTAATAATATTAGTAAGTCATGTCTAGCTCTAAGTATTTACTTTATCTTTGTGAGTATCTGTATTTCAGAGTCTGGGTTTTCATTGTTTCCTTAAATTTCTTAAAATGTTCTCATTATTATAGTTACATACTTTTCGTTTTACTTCCTATTGGTGAATTTTGTTTTCTTTGTTGTCTTTTCCACAAAAGTTATTGGACTAAAGGTAAATTTAAATTATAATTCATTTTGTTACCCTTTTCAGAGAAATTTTTGTTATTGTTAAGTATTAGTTGAGACTCCCGCCCACACACAGAAGTTTTAATCTTCTATGGGTGTGTATATTTCTACGCAAGTAAAAGTAAACTTTTATTTAATTAATTAACAATAAGTTTTGATTAGGACATTGTAAAATAATTTGTTTTTATAGATCTTTGTAATTTTATTGTGTTACTTGTGGAGAAATACAGATTTAT